GGGAAAGAGCCGCATCTGACGTCACAAGACCTGGGCTCTAGCTCCCGTCCTCCACTTACTGGCTGTGTGGCCTTGGGCCAGGTACTTCACCTCTCTGAGCCTCAGTTTCCTCATCTGTAAAATGGGGATAATAATACCTAACTCTCAGGATCGTTGAGGATCAAATGAGATAATGAACGTGAAAGCACTTTGTAAACTCCAAAGTGCTTCACACATTGGTTGTTATTATCATTGTCATCATTCTTATTATCATCCCCTCTTTCACCCCCCCATCTCCCCCACCTCCCCACTGCCAGCCAAACACATCAATAAATTGACCTTACAGCTAATTCCCACTTAAAGGTTTTAATTTGTTTTACTGTATCCAGGGGATTTATGTTTTACAAGAAGAGCCCCAAAACTGAACTCTCGGCAATTCCCTATCAATGAAAACTCTTGACCTTCAGTTGGTGATAGGAGCAGCCTGCTGAACAGGGTGAGTTTCTACAGAATGAGAAACATATTCTGATGTCGACTTACCTTGTAGGGATAGAATCCACCTTATAGAAAAGGCGGAATGAAACTAGCCTTGAGGATTTGAGGGTGCTGTGAGGGCCCTCCTGCCTGAAAAGATCTCTCCTCCCAGTCTGCTGAAATTCTACCAATAGACAGCTCTTTGTTTTATCAGGGTAGGCATTACTCTGTCCTGGCTCCTCACAAAGTGTAAAAACCCCTTTCCCCCAGGAGAGGGAGCACTTCAAGGCCCTGGTGTTTCAGAGTGGGTGAGCTTATCAGAATTGCCAGATAGAATCAGTCTCCCTCTATCTCGGAATCTGGGAATCAAAGCTGGAAGGTGGCCCAAGGCAGGTCTTCCTGGGCCAGAAGCACTTGATCAACAAAACTCCCTTACCACCCTTGGCGGGTCTGGAGCAAAGGAAGGGGGACAGGCCAGAGTGGGAGTGGGCCACTGCTCACCTTTTACCAGCTTCCAGAGGTAGATCTCCACCTGTTCAGAAGCCTCACGCTCGAGGGCCAGGCGACGCAGGTTGTCCGGGCTTGGGGATACTGACGTGTGGACAAGGACCCGGACCGGCGCCTTCGGACACTTGGTGGCACTGATCTCACTGTGGCCAGGGTCTGCCTTGTCCTCTGGGAGAGACAAGGAGCTCGTGAACACTCTGTCTCCCCACCCCTGGTAGCCCAGGAAGAGGGGCCACTGGTCTGACATCCCCCTCAGGGTCAATAGGGCCCTTGGGAAAGTTCTGGTGCCCCTGGGAAGAGAAGGAGGTCTCTGGGGAAGAGAAGGGCCCACTCCCCCATTCACCTCCCATTGATTAGCATGTCAGAAAACTTCTCACCCTTCAGGGCCCAGCTCACCTTCCACCTCTTCCAGGCAGCCCACCTGGAACAGCTCAGCGTACCATTTCCTCCCACCCATAGCTTGTAAAGCCCTTCTTGCTTATGCCTCTCCCTCAGGCCCTTAATCCCACACTGCCTTGCATTGCCTTGTAATTGTTTCACTTGGGTATGTTTTCTCTCTAAAATAAACCCACAGGGTGAAGGGCAGGAATCATGTTCTCCAAGTCTTTTGAGTGACTCATACCACCCAGCACAGGCTCACACTGAACACACGTAGAATGAAAGGTTTGGGAGGGATTGAGGTGACAATGGCAGTAATGATGACGATGAGTGTGATACGGGACAGGTTCTAGAAGGAGTTCCCATTCCAGCTCCACTGCTCTTTTGCGGTGTGATTTAGGAAGTTCCCTTCCCTTCTCTGGGTCTCAGTTTTCCCATATGTTGATGAGGATTGAAGGAAGACAGCAGTGGTCAAGAGCATTGTCTTTGTGGGAATTCCCTGGCGGTCCAGTGGTTAGGATTCCGCGCTTTCACTGCTGTGGGCCTGGGATCCGATCCCTGGTCAGGGAACTAAGATCCTGCAAGTCACGCTGTGCAGCCAAAATAAATAAATAAGTAAATAAAAAGAGGATAAGACCTACAGGGTTCATATCCCAGCTCTGTTACTTACAGCTTTGGGACCTGGGACAAGGTATTTATCTTCTCATTCTGTAAAATGGAGATAAAGATGCCTGCCTTGTCCGTTTTGGTGAGGATTACATGAATTCAGCCAAAATACCTACCCGGCACATGATAAGTGCTCAATAAATGTTGGCCATTCCTCTTAAAAGTCCTAATAGCCTAAGATTTTATGATTTCACAGAGTCCAGGACATTATTTGATTCTATGTATGTCTGAAAGTCTCTGAATCTGTAACAGTAGATGGTTCCATAAGTCTAATATTTTATGAGTTAGGCATTTTTCACTGCTGTGCTTCTAACATTCTGTGCATGTAATAACCCCTACATCCCTTGGCTCTGAGGCCATGCCCCATCCATGTCAGAGATGTTCCAAGTGTCTGTGCTCTGGGGAGAGAGACCCATGGCTCACTCTGGCCAGTGCCCTCCCTGCCCTCAGGCTCTCTTTGTACCTGGACAAATCTTGCAGCACTTCCCAGCCACTTTCTTGGGCTGACGGCAGGGGTACTCAGTGGGGCAGGTCACCCGCTGGCAGTCCTGGCGGCCGTCCTGACAGGTGCACAGGATGCAGGGCAGGGGTCCAAAGGAGCGGAAGGCTGGGTGCCACACCTCCCCATGGGAGTACGTCTTCCCGCCATGCACACAGGCTGGGAGGGCAGGAAGGGAGGAGGGTCAGTGCCTCGGACTTGGGTCAGAGTCCAATAACGGCTGGGAGTAGGTCCTTGGGGCGCCCCTGCTCCACCAGTCTGGCCCAGCCACACTGCCTGCAAAGTGGAGGCCAGGGAGTAAACCAGTCCTCTGTCCCTGACATCACCCATTTCAGTACTCAGGGCTGGGATGGACCAGTAAGTTCTTGCCAAAGATGGAGAGTCCTCCCCTGCACTTCACAGGCACCTCCAGTGGGGCATGGGGAGGGATGGCCTGACAGTAAGAGACCTGTGATCAAGTGCTGTCACTACCTGGCCATGTGAGCTCTGTCAGGTCCCTTCTCCTGTCTCGGCCTCAGTGTCCCATCTGTACAGTGAGGGGCTGGACGGATGCCTCTGCAGCCCCTCCCACTCCACCAATCAGGGTGCCCTGCAGTGAGGCCTCTTTCCTCCCCCTCTGCTGCCACAATTGTCCCCTTAGCCTCCTTTCCTGATCCATCCCAACCATCCTCCTGCACCCAGCTCTGCGTCCTCCTTCCTTCATCAAAAACTTTCCCTCACCACTTCCTTATCTTATAATAATTAATGTACATGTCTGTCTGCCCTACTAGTCTATGAGCTCCTGGAGGACAGGGACCATTTTCATCTCTCTGTTCTGTGTCCCTCAATTCCCAGCAAAGACGTGGCAGATGCTAAAAAAAATATTGTTGTATGGCCCGTAGTCCTGGTTCCGGGACTGGTTCTATCTCTAACTCAATACTCTGAACCTCAGTGTCCTCATCTGTCAAATGGGGGTTTAGACCCGACGTTCTAGGGGTCTACAAGCTCATGGCCAAGTTGAGATTGGGGAACCACTCAGTGGAGGTGCAGGGATGGGAAGTGGGAGTGGTCAGGGCCCCCCTTTCCCACCTCAGGGGGCGGCAGAGGCTCCAGTTCCCACCTTTCTTATGTTTCTCCTTCAGAACAATCTTGACTGTCGTGCTGCCTGCCTCCTTCGGTCGGAACTGGTGAGGGAGGAAGCCCAGGGGGGCACTGGGGCCAGTGGGGCTTGGGGTGCTCAGGTCTCTCTTTCTCCCACCGTCCCCTGAACACGGATCCTGGGAATGTCTCTGCAAAGGGCAGGAAGGATGCAGATCACCAACAGGCCACTGCCAGTGCAGGAGCAGCCAGACAGAGGCTGCGGTAAGAGGCCTGAGGATGACTCTAGTGACTGAGCCTGATGGCCCAGGGAAGATAGGGCATAGGCTCTGGGTAGAAAGAAGATCTGGATGGGGTCGAAGATGTTCCTAGGCAATGGGCCTTTGAAAACTCTCAGAGGATAGTGGTTTGGAAATCCATCCTCCACTGAGGCCTTCTCAGGCTGGCAGAGCCAGAGCCTTGGGGCTGAGATGGGCAAGGGTGCTGAGGTCTTGATTTGGGAGACATAAGTGATCAGGGACCTGGAGAACTTAATATGTAAGAAATGGAAGGTGAGAATGTAGTGAGGATGAGAGTCAGGAAATTCTTCTTTGTCCAAGAAGATTTAGGTGATGGGACAGGGGATGGGCCTCTGAAGATCCCACCAGGCCCCGGAATCCCACAGGCAGGAGGGCTGAGAGCAGGCCCTGTCCGGAGATGATGGGTCTTGGGAGCCTCCTTTCCTAAGTCCCTGGAATCCAACATCCTGAGACCCCACCCCTCCAGATCAGGTCTTGGGAGAGCTGGCAGTGAGAACAAGGGGTGTGTGTGTGAAGGCAGCCTAACAGGGCAGGGGCTCCCCAGTCCAGAGATTGGGGGTTGGGAGCTCCAGGCCGTGGGAGAGGAGCAAGTGGGCTGGGGGCAAGGGGCAGAGCTTACCACCCCGTCACTGACCCTGAGTCACTCACATGCCTTCTTCTGCAGCCCCTTTCTGACTATACAGTCTCTGAGTCAGTCCTCTGATGGCTGGACTGAGCCCACAAGAGCTCCTAGAGTGGAAACTGTGTCCCAGGCCCCAGCACAGGCCGAGGCACACAGGAGGTACCCAGGAAATGCTTGTCAAGCAGAATAGAGGCAGAAAGGAATTGAAGAGCCCAGCCCCCTAACTGGTGACTTGCCCACGGCATCCAGCAAGTCAGTAAGTAGCTGCTCGGGGCCTGGAACTAAATCTGGTGGGTTTCACTTAGCTGCCCCCTGGGGAAAGGATGGGGAGGAAGGGGGATGACATAGTCAGGTCCCGTGGCCCAGCACCCACTAGACAAAGCCCAGCCTGGGATGTGGGGGTGAGCTGGCAGGGAGGAAGGAAGAGCTCATTCGTTCAGACCCCCGGGAGTCTCTGGGAAGGGGACCCCCCCCACCTTCAAGTTCCCCCAGAGTCCACGTGACCCAGGATGAAAGAGCAGGTGGAGCTATTCACATCATAGACATAGCACAGGTGCAGACAGGGACGTGAGTCAGTGTGTGGGCCCATTCTCCCACCTCTTTCCTCTCTGACCAGAGAGCACTGGGCAGGTTAGCTCATCTTAACTCTAGACCAAGATCAAGAGGGGTCAGGATGGAGCCAGCAACAGTGAGGTAGCCCCAGACGAAGAACTGATACCTCAGGAGCTAGATGGGGAAGGCTGGCCCAAGTCAGAGGCCACTCCCCTGGGGGACATGCTGCTCAGAGGCGGCCTGAATAAGGACAGACACAGGCTCTGGATGGAACAGTGTCCGAATTTTCCAGGAGGGAAATTGGGAAGCTTGGGGCCTGCTCCTGCCCTGCGTGGTGTTTTTTCCCAGACCTCTCCTGACTCACCAGCCCACGGTGGGAGCCAGGATGGAAGTCTAAGGAGAGGGCCTGGAACCTGGTGGCAGCTAATGGAGCTGACCCAGGGGACAAATGAGAAACGAGGGCAACAACTGGTATTGCCTGCTCCAGAGCAAGGAGACCTAGGCCCTGGATACCAGCACCCTCCCCTCCTCTCCCCACCCTGTCCCTAAAGCTGTGCACTCACCACCCCACGGTGTGACTGCGTGGCATCCTCTTCAGCTGACTTCTCACTTGACCCATCTGAAACCCCAAAGGGAGTCGGGTCAGCCTCTGCTTCCTCAGCCTTGGGGCCAGAGCCCTGCAGGCCACCACCTCTAGGCTCTGCCCCTCCAAGGCCTGTTGCCACTTCTGCAGCCCCCCACACCAGTAGGTCCCTTTGCCCCAGTGGGGCCTTATTCCTACTTCTCATTACAGCGTCACCTCACCCTTGGGTTGATGAAGTCCCTACAACTGGGCCACTGCCTCAGTTTCCCCACACTGGCCTCTTGGTCACTTAAGACTGAACCGCCTGGCTGGGCCAGAGCATCTTGTCCAGTGTCGTCACAGATGGCCCAAGGGCTCTGAATCCCAGCCTGCTTAGCTGCAGTCCCCTGGGCAGCCTCTCTGTCCAGCCACGCATGAAGTCACCAGACTTGGTCTACACTATACCCTCCCGTGGTTGCCCTCTAGCCCCTCTGCCCCTTCAGCTGAACAGCCTAGGACTCCTCCATCCCCTACATCCTGGGGCACCAGCACACAAAACCCTCTGGAGTCCTGCAGCTTCCTAGATCCCTGAGTGGGATTCTCTCCCCTTCACCCCTGCCTCACATACAGAGTGTCTACCACTAAGCATTCTGGGTTCACAGATCCAGAACGTTGGAATCAGCCTGTGCATTAGAAATCACCAAGGCCAATTTCTCGGTGCACACACAGCACAGCTGAGGCCCAGAGAGGGGAAGGAATCTGCAGGAATTAGCTGGAAGAACCAGGACTAAACTGGGATCAGCTGGCTCCTGGTCCATGCCCTTCCACAGTGCCAACATCTGGAGAAACGTTCTATAGTGCAGCACTCCCTTCCTCAAGTCCTGCCCACAGGGGACAGTCCAGCCATCTGTGCACTTCATTCTGCCCAAGCTGCTTGCCCTGCACTCGTCAGTGTGTTGCCTCTCTCTGTGCTATACAGAGATGCTGCTTGGATTCTGCTTGACACAGGTGCCCTGAGCTCCAGTGAGCCCAGGCCCGTGCCCAGCTCTGCCATGAGGAAGACAGGAAGAGACATGGTCACTGCCTGTACAGACCCCTCTCTTGTGCCTCTTCTGATCCTCTTGGCCTCATTTGATTGCAGGGATTTTGTCCCCTCACTGCAGGCACTGCAGCAACAGCCCCTTCACATGGGCTCCAGCCAACTTCCCTCAGACTCACCCTGCCAGCAGGTGCCCTCGTGCCTCCATGTCTCTGCCCCCACTTCTTACCCTGCCCCACTCCCACCTCCTGCTCCCAGGACAGCCTAGCACAACCGGGGAGTGTGAGGGAATCACCCCGCCTTGGGGTGAATCTTTGACCAGTGAGAGTTGGTGGCTGGTGGGCAAATTCCACCTCCTCCTCTATCACCCCCAGACTTTTCTGAGGAGCAGAAGGCCACTTAGAGCAATAGGTCACACTTGATATCAAGCAAAGGCCAGCTCCCCAACACATTCCTGTGTTGTTTTTCCCTCCCACCCTGCTTCACTTTCCCTTCCCCTCCTTCCTGCTCCCTGAGATTGCAATAGAAAATAATGCACATCAGCCTCTGACACAGGCTTAGCTTTCTAGAGGCTGCAGCTAAGCCACCGCCCTGAGGAAAGAATGGTTTGCTACATGCTTGGTGTCCCCTGAGGTTCCCCCCTAACAGTCCATGGCTAGGTCCCTGCGGTGGGATGGGCGGGCACTGCCAGATCTAGGGACAGACTCACCTTTGCAGGCCTGGCAGCAGGAGGCGGGCAGCAGGAGGGGTGCAGGGCAGCCCGGTTCTGGGCAGGTCATGAGGCCACAGTAGATCTGGCCCTCCTGACAGACAGAGCAAACAGGAGCTGAGAGCTCTGTTGAGGACCAGCCTTGGGGCTGAGAGAGCCCCTGCCCGGGGGGGTAGATGGCCTTGGGGTCCCCTCTGAGGTGGGGAGGGAGGGAGCAGTAGAGTGTCCTGGGCACGGCCCAGCCATCTCAGAGGAGGGGTCCCTGTACCCCTCCCACTCTTACCCAGGCCCTGAGGTAACAGTTACCCTTCAGCTTCTAAAGTGTTTTTGTACCCAGTCTCTCCCTAGGCTTTCACAGCAACCCAATGAGGTGAGATTCTCCCATCCTACAGATGGGGAGGGACTGCGGAGGGGCCTGGACCCTCTGAAGTCAGAGACACAACTGGGCAGAATGGACTAGAACCCAGTCTTCAGGCTTTTCCTACTGCTATCAGTGTCCTTCTCCCCTGGCCTAGAACAGGGAGCCCAGCATAGAGGAGGGGATGAGTACATGACTACTTGGGCTCATCTTGCTCTTACTGAAACTCGAGGTTTCCCAAACTTCAGGATGCAGCCTGCAAAGGCAAGACTGCAGGAGAAAGGGCCTTCTGGGAGTCAGAGGCCAGATGACCTTAGGTGAGTCACTTCTCTTCTCTGGGCCTCAGTTTCCTCCTCTGTGAAGTGGGGGCACTCCCATCTGGGTGGTGAAATCAAATGAGGGAATGGTTATGAAAACCCTTGTTAAACTGCGAGGCACAATGTGTACCTGGGAGGAAGTGATATTACCTTGAGTCCTTTCCCTATTCCTTTTCCAGTGAGTCTCAGAAGTAAGGATTCTGATCCTTCAAACCACTCCCATATAAACAAGGATCAGAAGAAAGAAGGAGAGACCCAAGTACCCAGGGAAAGGAGACAAGGGGTCACAAGAATGCTCTCACCATCCCACCACCATCAGTTCTGTCTCTTCCCACAGCCCCTCCTAATCTAGGTGGTCATCCCTTCACAGGAAGCCACACAGTGCAGGTAAAGGAATGTGGGTTTGGAATTATGTGGCCCTGGGTCTGAATTCTGAGTTTGCCACTTAACTAGCTGTGTGACCTTAGGCAAATTGCTTAACTGCTCTGAGCCTCAGTTTTCTTATCTAAAAACTATGAATAGTGATATACCCCTCATAGGGCCACTGGGATGCTGTATATAAACATAAGGCATTTCCTAGTAGGTACAGTGTACTAGTTCACTGCAAGAGGCCCAGGCCCTGCAAAAATAACCATTCTCTCAGTTGATTTCTAAGTGGTCACTCTTGTTATTATTAAGTTGTTTGCTCTGCAGCACAGATACCTTAAAATTCAGATTCTCGGAGGGGTGAGATCCTCTCACTGGAAAGATGGGAGGCAGGCCCAAGAGAGGTGACTCTCCCAAGGTCACACAGGGAACCATGGCAGAGCTGGAGCTGAAACATGGGTCTCAGTCTCTTATCCTCTCATCACCACTGAATCAGACTATTATCTTAAATGGAGAGGACCTTGGAGATCACCTGGTCAGACTCCCTTACACACTCAGAGGAACTGAGGCCCAGAGAAGTTTGATGGTCAGGTAGTAGGGAAATCAGGAGGGCAGGAGTTTCTCCCGCCAAAGCACAGATGCGCTAAGCCCAAGGCTGAGGGTGACATGCCAAAGGCCACCTGCAAACATGCAGCAGGGCCAGGCCTAGAACCGCCCCCTGAGGAGGAGGGGAAGACTTTCCAGCTCAGGCCCTGCTTGGCTTCAGTTTCTGTCCCCTGATAACACTGCTGGTTCAGCCCTGCCTGTCCCTAGGTCCAGCTCTGACCACAGCAGGGGAGTTTAAGCAGCTTCAGATTAAATTGCATTTACTGCAAGCAGTCTGGCTCTGTCTCTGTGCCCCAGGATTGATAACTGATCATTTACTCATTCCCTCATTCACTCACTCATTCATTCAACAATCATTACAGACATGTGTGTGCCAGGCCCTGAGCTGGGCATAGTGGAGGATATAGAAATGAGTTGAATATATCCCCTCCCCTCAAGGAATGCAGAGTCTACAGGGGGACACAGTAATGGCAAATGTCAGTGCAAGGTGACCAGGCAGCTTAGGAGGGTGCGGAAGCCCAGAGAAAGGCAGGACATTCCAAGTCCCAGATGTTCCCTTCCCCCTGAGCCCATTCACTTTCACTGTCCTTTGACCAGGAGGAACAATTCCCCTTACCCCCCCGGTCCACACCACTGTGCTCTGCAGGCCCAGACCACTGGCCTGTGCTAAAGGGAAATAGCAGGTCTTACAGTACAGCTGCAGAGGACACACTGGTTGGGCAGGCGGGAAGGGAGCAGCTCGTGGGCACTGAAGATCTCTCCATGTTGGTATGTGGTCCCGTTGTGCTGGCAGGACCTTGGCGGGGCCCGGAGCCCAGAGGGGGTGTGAGGTTCTGCAGGTGGGAAGGGGAAGGAGGAAGGAGAAAACGGTCTAAGAGCTTCGCCAGAACTAACTTGGGCACTTTTCTGAAATTGTTGTATCCTATCCCTTGCTATCATTTAAACCAAGCTCTGGCCTCAGCCTTCCCAGCCAGACCTCCTATCAGTGAACGAAGAGGTCCCCGGGACACCTATGTCTGACTATGTCACTCCCTCCCATAGCCTTTGAGCCCCTCAGTTTTAGAGCTGGCACTGATTGGAGCAAGAAGGCAAGGCCAGATGCTTCAGGTACACTGAGCCCCACTCAGTGGGGACCTGTGTGAGTTCATTCAACATTCGATAAGCATCCATGGAGCACCTCCTAGTGCCAGGCACTGTTCTAGGTGCTGGGGATACAGCAGTGAACAAGACAAGGTCCCACATGGAGTTTCATCCTAGTGGAGTCAGCTGGTATGATATGGACTGCACTTGTGTAAGCTTGGCGTCAGCTCCTGCCATTCCCTGGCCACCAGAGCCCCCTCCCCGTCACCTGCCAGTTAGCCTGCCCTCACCCTGCTGGGTAGAGGGGTAAGCCTCCTGTCCAAGGGGAACCTGCTCATTCTTTTTTTTTTTTTTTAATTTTATTTTTTAAACATCTTTATTGGAGTATAATTGCTTTACAATGGTGTGTTAGCTTCTGCTGTATAACAAAGTGAATCAGCTATATGTTATGTACATCCCCTCCCTCTTGGACCTCCCTTATTTCATATAAAAGAATCTCCTGTTTGGGATTGACATGTACACACTGCTATATTTAAAATAGATAACCAACAAGGACCTACTGTAAAAAACAGAACAAAGAATCTCCTGTTAGGAAAGAGAAATATGAAAAAAAAAATCAAAACAATATAGACTTAAAAGTAAATTTTGATCCTTGATTTGGTCCCTACTTTTGGTGCAATCAGAAGAGCAATATGGATCTTCTGCAACAAAGAAAGGATTTTCTGCTACATGTTTAACAGTGTAAACATTTGAAACATGGTATTTTTTAAGGTATTTTATTTTCTTTATTTTTTAATTTTATTTTTTAAACATCTTTATTGGAGTATAATTGCTTTACAATGGTGTGTTAGCTTCTGCTGTATAACAAAGTGAATCAGCTATATGTTTACATATATCCCCATATCTCCTCCCTCTGGCGTCTCCCTCCCACCCTCCCTATCCCACCCCTCTAGGTGGTCACAACCTGCTCATTCTTTCAAGACATATTTGCTAAGCACTTTCTCTGCACCAGGCGCCATGCCACACATTGGGAATGGAGTGCGAATAAGACCCGGCCCCTCCCATCAGGAAACTGACAGTCCCACTGGGTAGAGACAGGCCCCAAGCAGTGACACTGGTGTGGTATGGGCTAGGGTGATGGAAGCACAGAAGTTGTGGCAGCACAGAGGAAGCACCCCTAACTCAGCCGAGGAGGGTGGTCAGGGAAGGCTTCCTGAAGGGGCTGATGGGTGAGCTGAGTCTTAGGAGCTGAAGAACACAAAGACCAGGCAGGGAAAGGGGCAAGGCCGGGAAAGAGAGAGGGAGGGAGGAGCCTGTGACGAAGAAGGGGTCTGGGCCAAGGCACAGTCCACAAGGCGTGGTCAGGAGTCCCGGGGTCAGCCTCAGCCGGGGAGGAGGCGTGATGCCCCCTCACTAGGCAGGATGAAGCACAAAGCCTCTGCTCCCCTAGGGAACCCAGAATCAGGAAACTATGACCCAAGTTGGAGTCATGGTCAGATCCCTACTGGGGTCCCACTTGGAAAAGGAGCCCCTCTACATACATACTCCATACAGGTCCCCAGCTCCCCAGGAGAGCCATGATTCCAGAGTCTGGAGCGGAGGCTACAATCTGGAGCCCTCCCTCCCTTCATCATCTTCTTTTTCTTTTTCTCACCCAATGGACTTTTTTCTTTTAACATCTTTATTGAAATATAATTGCTTTACAATGCTGTGTTAGTTCCTGCTGTACAACAAAGTGAATCAGCCGTATGCATCACCTTAATGCTACTAAGCGTGGATGCGCCTCTCAACGTGTCCCTGCCTTCTGAGTTGGCCTCCCCACTGGCTGCCCCTCATTTGCCACTTGGTTCTGCCAGTTTCTTCTCAGACCATGTCTCCTCTCCTCTCTCTTACCTCTGCTTCCTAGAATCCGAGTCTCAGAGGCTCCCAGCAGATTCTTAAAATCATGGACATTGAGCATCATGGCACACAGCATCCCTAAACCCCAGCCCTGGGAGGAATCTCAGAGCACATGTACTCCAGCTCCTTCGGCCAGTCCCAGCCCCTGGTGGTAATCCTGGGCTGATCCTGGGGTGACCCTGCAGGGCCTCCCAGCCCCAGCTCACTCACTTGCACTTACACAAGGCACGTCCACTCACTCAGGCTCTGGCCAGCCCAAGAGCGATAGGAGACCATGTGTGTCGTCAACAGGCCAAGCATATGCCCATGTTCCTTCAGCTATTTTCCACATTCTCTCTGTCTTTCTGCCCAACACATCTACTTATGTACGAGAAGTCTGTGGCTACCCCAGCCCTCCTTGGGGATCCATGGAGGATGTCTTCCCCTGAGCGCCTTGGTGTCTTAACACTTCTGGTGTCTGCAGACTGCCCCTCTCATTCCAGGGGTCTCCTTCAGCTGGAGGCCTGTGTCAGGAGTGGGTCAAGGGTCAGTGGGCAAGCGGGAGGCTGGCACAAGGGCAGGAGCGTGGCTACTTACCCATACACCGGGGACAGCACTGCTGTGGCTCGGTCACAGGCTGGGGGCAGTGGACAGGCGGGCAGTGGAGGCGGTAACAGCTCACATGGGCATTCTGAAGGGGACACAGGGGTCAGTCCTAGTTCCAAGGAGCCACTGTCTCCCACCGTCCTCTCCCCAAACCCCCTCCCAACTGCAAGGCACTGTACTCGTTTTAAGCCTGCGATGGGATAAAAGTGATAAACTCTGTGTGTCCAGTCTCTCCCCTTCCCCTGCTCATTTGTGTGGCTCGCCCATCCGTATCCCTCCCCCCACCACGGAGGAGGGCACTGTGTGCCTGGATTTACACAGATCTTTTGTGTCCCTTTGTGGTATTTGAGAAATACAAGTAAAAGACTGGGTTATTCTAACATTGATCTTGACTGTGCTTTTTTAACTCCAGGGCTTTGTTCTTTTACCTCTGGACCTGAGCCTCAGGGCTAAGAGAGGAGTGTGACACAAGAAAGGGAGGTGACAGGGATGGGGACACAGCTAGCAACAGGATGCGGAGAGGACTCAGGGCTTTGTGATCTGCTCTCTAAATCTCTGGGAGGTGTGGTTGATCCCACACAAAGCCTTGGGATTGGTACCAGAGGAAGGGCCTGAAATCTTGGACTTTTTCAAATACAGCAAACGAGAGAGAAGGGGCAGAGAAGCATTCACAGAGATGAGCAGAAACAGAACTGGAGGGAGAGGCCACCACTGGAGATTTTCCCAGGCAGTTTGTCAGCCTGTCACAGACGTCCCACACTTTCCTCTCCCTCTGCTGTAAGGGCGTTGCCCTGTGTTGTAACAAACCATTACATCTGTCTCTTCTGTTCAACCGCGAATTCCCAAGAACAAGGGCCAAGCCTCACTCTATTCATCTCTGAATTGTGAGCACAGGGCCTTGCTCCAAACAAGTGCCTGCTGAAATTCGAATGAACGAATGAGTGAATGAATGCGAGCCAAGAGGGGAAGGAGAGATGGTCTCTTCCTTAGTCAAATGGAGCCAGCTTTGTTTAAACTTTGGAGTTGGCAAGTATGCTTCCAGCCCCAGCTGAGTGCCCCTGAAACACTTCTCCCAAGGCAGCCTCCTGCCCCATGGAGAACCCTGGAGCAGGCCTTAGTCTCTCTGGGGTCACTGCTTCCCCAGATGGCCAGAAGTGATGACAAGGATTCATCAGTGCTAAGGGACATGCTCGAGTCCACAGGATTGGTCTGAGCTCCAAAAGGGGCCTTCTAGAGGCCTGGCACACAGGGGTGTTTGATAAATGTCCAGAGGGTGAACAGAGCCCCACAGGTGAGAAACCAGGGTAGAGTATGAGGAACTGTGTTGTCTGAAGAGTTAGAATCTCTCTCTTGATTCTGGCCTTGAAGGAACCAAGGGGTGGAGATGATGAGCGACATGCAGCAGGAAGTAAGGCAGAGACAGGCTGGGGGGTGGGGGGGCGAAAGGGCAGGGGCAAGGCAGGAGGCTTTGCAGCCAAAGGGTTCCTCTCAGGAATGTCATAACTACCATTTAGGGAGTGGCTGCTAGGTACGGGCATTATGTTATATAGAAATGCATTCTCTCACTTCATCCTCTCAACAACCCTAGAGGTAAATACTATTTATTATCCACCATTTCAAAACGAGAAAAGAGCCTCTGAAAGTTGCCTAAGACACACAGCAGGTGTGCACTGTGCAGGGTCTGTGTACCTTCCATGAAAGTGCCTCTGGTGGAGGGGGCGGGAACTAACTCATTCACTCAATGTTTACTGCATGACAGCTGGGCGCCACATTCTCTTCCGAGCACTAGGGGCATAGCAGTGAGCGAGAGACAAGAGCTCTGCTCTCACGGAGCTCCCCCCTAGCAGGGGGAGACAGACTATAAAAAATAAATAAGTAGGAACAAGATCATGTCAGATGTTAAATTTATAACAGGAATAAAACAGTGTAATGTGATTGCGTTAACAAGGTTAGACTATTTTAGAAACAGCCATAGAGAAAGCCTCATAAGGAGGCAACTTTATGTTATAAACTGCAAGATGAGAAGGAACCATTCCTGGGAAGATCTGGGGGAAGAACATTCCGGGTGGAGGAACAAGTCGGAATGAGTTGAAGTGTTGGTGCAGGTAGGAAATGAGGTTGAGAATAAGGCAGAGTCATATCACATAGCGCCCACAGCAGGCAATCTGAATTTTACTTTAGGTGCAACGAGAAGCTATTGGAGGGTTTTAAGAGCTTTTGAATGACATGATTAGTTTTTTGTTCAGAAAAGACCCTTCTGGCTGCTGTGCAGAGGACAGATTAGAAAGGGGTACAGGGAGACCTCATGGGATGCTCACATAGCAGCCTAGGTGAGAGAGGAAGGTGGCTTAGATTAGGGGGGAGCAGTGATGATGGAGAGAAGGAAGGGATTCAGGGTGTATTGGGGGGATGCTGGCTGCAGCCCCTTGGGGTGAGGAAACTGTGTATGTGTGAACTCTGGGGAGGGAGAAATGAATTAGCTCCACTGGATCACAAAACTTGGACTTTGTCAACTGGACCGCATGATATGTCTGGAATTTTCTGTTATGGTTTCCTTCCTGTTTTTTGGCTATATTTCACAAAGTTCTTTTTGAAAAAGCTGATTGGCCTCAGATGTGCTAAGGAAAACCAAGGGGAAGCAGGGATGGGGGGTTGTGCTCCCACTGGCATCAGGTTCGACCAGGGGCCAGCATGGTAGCAGTCGGGAATCAGAGGGAAAGACCCCAGGAGGAGTGAGACCCCAGTGGTCAGAGTCAGGAGAGGGGCTGGCCCACCCCCGCTCCATGTCCCAGTGTTTCCTCAGAAGCTCTTCTCTGCTCCCACCCTGAGGATTGTTTTAACAAGGGAGGCTCTCACAGCCTTGGCTGTGCAGGGAAAGAGG